CTAACCGATCGGGGCCTTATGTGGTTCCCCAATCCAGGTCCCTCGGCTTGGGTTACCGTTTTCCATTACGGAACAGCAGGTCTTCGTGACTGAGGTTCGCTCCGTCTGTTGTTCACTACACAAATATGTGTAATAAAAAAGGGTTCTACTACCTTGGTTGATCCAAGAGTAAATTTTCTCACTGCCTCAATGTATTCTTTGATTGCAAGCCTCTTATTGCACACTGCTGTGTGCTCAACAGCAGAACGGGTTCACCCTGTAGTCAGGACAACCTAGTGGTCACTGATAAAAACCCGCAACCTAAGTTCCAGGATTTTCAGTGGCGAACCACGTAGGGCCCTTGGTAGCGCGGGCGTGATATTGAACCGGACGACAGCAAAGCTACCTACCACCCACCTCGGAACTCCTGTTCTGGTGCTACAGCTCAGCCAACTGGAACCGTTTCATGAGTTCCTAGCCCTTTATCCATGAAACGATCGTGGTTTTTCTTTGGACGTTTCCATATCTGTTTCCTACTTTACCGACGTTATTTCTCAAGGTATGCATCGTTTGATTTCACACTTGCGAACCCAGCAAACTCAATCCTCCGAGTGGTTGAACCACGCATGTGATCGTTCTATCCAAGACACTCCACTTTCCGCCGCTCACTCATTTCCAACTCCCATCATCGCCTCGTGCAAGCTGGGAACAGATGCTCGACAACCATTTTGAGAACTAGAGAACACTTCGTTCACCGCTAAGCCTATTATGTGGCCTCGTCCACCACCAGTAGCCAAACATTTTGGTCATTTGGAAAAGCAATTTCCCTTAATTTTTGCTCTCAGTTTCTCTTGTCTAATTCCTCTGGTAATCTTGTATTCCAACCACAACAGAATGCAGAGGTTTTTGCCTCCCGTTTCGCCACCATGACCACATTATTCAAGCATCGAACACCGCCACTTTCTTCCTATTTCACTGGCTTCCATTTTCTACCCCTTATTAGCACCAGGAAATCCGCAAAACATTGCGCTCTCTAAACGCAAACAAACCACCCAGTCTGGACAGTATTCCACCCGTCGTACTCAAAATGTATGCTCGAACTGGGTCCTATTTTACGTCATCTTTTCAGTCTTTCCTTTTCAACTCCTTGGAAACGCCGTGATTTTTTTCATTCCCAAACTCGACTACCTTTCGACCCATTTCCCTTACATCTGTTCTTTCGAAATTATTTGAAACCATCATCTATGATCAACTACATGCGTTCCTCGAACCTGAAGTACCACTGAACTACCGCCAGTATGGCTTCCGACAGCATCGTTCCACCGGCTCTTGTCTCACATTCCTGGTCTGTTACACTCGATCACCACGGATAAACATATGTGGTCTCGCTTGTTACCTCAAAGGCCTTCGACCGAGTTTGATACTGTCTATTATCGAAACTATCCGTGTCTGGGTTCCCTCCAGTTCTCATAGTCTGGATATCAAGTTTTCTCAGTAAGCGGACCGTCTCCGTTCGAGTGAATGGGGTTCTATCCCAGCCGTTTCCTGTAAATGCAGCGTTCCCCAAGGTTCAGTACTTGTGCCCGTCCTCTTCTATTTATCGATGATCTCCTGTCGAAAACCAACCCAATCCGTTCTTTTGCTGATGACGCCACCCTCCACTGCTCCCTCCTACTCGCACTACTCGCCATGCCCAAACCAACATCGGTCGTCAGTGTAGTGAAGTTAATTTGTCACTAGACACTTTTAGGGTAGCGTCAACCATGCTCCATTCAATACTTCCAAAACCTCCCTTTCAATTTCTGTACAACCATTAATCCCCCCAATTATCTTTGAGTTCCGCCCATCTGCGTTCCACAAACTTTGTTTCCCTTCTGAGATTACTCATAACTTCTTTATGCTTCATCCTTTGAAGCTTAGTTTGCTTCTCTTGTTGCACCCAAGATTGATTTCTATTCCGCGCCAGAAGCTTTTCCCCAGCTCATCTATTGTACAATGCTCAATTCCACCCTGCTCTTGAATACTGCAGTCACGTTTGGGATGGGGCCTCTTCTCTTTCTCTTCATCGTGTTCAGCGGAAGCCTATCCGGCTGGTTGATGATCCTTCCCTAACCTGCAATCTAAAGTCACCAGCTCATCGTCGAGCAGTTGCTTCACTATCCCTGCTCTGCCGTTACTACTTTAGTTTTGGTTCTTCGGAGGTTGCCGCGGCTGTCTCTTCCTGTAACTTGTCCGGTTCATCCCGCAACACTGCCTTTTCGTGGAGGTGTTTTCCGCTCACGCATCTGGTCATCCTTATAAGATTTCGGTCGCTATACGCCGTATTTCTCTGCTCCAATCTTTTTTTCGCTATACTGCCAAATTGTGGAACACCCACTTTCTGTCTTTCCCTCGACTTACAGCCTTATACTCTTTGTGTCAGGTAGCTTTGCTACCATCCGGTTCAATAGCACGCCTAACCTGCCCTTTGTGATTCACCACTTCAAGCCCCGGGGTTCAGGTTACCGGTCTCCATCACTTGATAGCAGGTCTTCGTGATTGTGGGGTTCGCCCCGTCTGATGTTCACCACACAAGTGTGTCAAAAAATCAGTAGAGTGAATCTTACATGAATGTTCCCCTACTTTCCCCTTTACAGTGTACTCTTTGTCTAAGGGGATTTCCGCCTCTACTGTAACTCGTGTGATAAAAAAGTTCGAAAATCGGACAATCGGGCCAAAAGTACCATTGGCAACCACGTAAACCATTTGACCCCCACCGACCTAAAGGAACTCCGTGGTATAAACAACAATCAGCTACTTCCTGAAACAACCGAGAGTAAACGAGCACCGCTGAGAAACCAGTATTAGTAATCGATTATGGTGAATGTTCTTTCGCTGCGTTTTATATCACACCTAACGTAGTACTTGTATTAAGTGCCCCGTTTCGCCACTCCTGCGCGATTTCGTCGTAACCGGAATACTGGAGATACCCCCATGTTGTCTCCCAAATGTTGATATTGAATGGATATTCGAAGAAAAGCTGTGCGATTTAGAGTACGCTGACGCCGCCGTTTACTTGTTCTTATGTGTGGAGGATGCATAAAACGCTCTTGACAGACTAGCAAGTTCTGTTGCTCCGTTTGGAATGCGCTTTGCACATTCAGAGTGCAGTGATTCTGTAAAACTGGGTGTTGCCGAGTCCCGTTCTGAAACTAGACGGCCAGGAATTAGCTGAAGTTGACTGCTTCTTGTACTTGAGTAGCTGTGTGACAAACGACGATAGCGCATCAAAGGAGATTATCACTCGCATTTCCAAGCCTCGAGCATTATATACTGTATCGAAACACATGTGGCATAGATATGGCGTTTCACTAAACCTGAAAAGTCTCGTACACTGCGCCGCTGTACGATCAGTTCTGCTTTACGCCTGTCAGACCATAAATTTGTGGGTAGAAGATATCCGTCGCCTAGTGGTTTTCGGCAATCCATGCTTACATATTCTGGCCCTGGTGGTAGTGAGCGAGTCAGTAAACTAGACCAAGTCGGGTATTTGGGAATGTATCGAACACGAACTCGCTATCGTATCGAATTCAGTTCAATAGGTTAAGTTAGGACACGTTTTTCGTATATCTCACGGTCGCCTACCGCACCGTGCCTCATTTGCA